GTTGCGAGGGTATAAAAAAGAGAGGATAAACAAAGACACTTACTGGAAAAGTGGAACAACCTCTTTGACTGTTTTCAGTTTTGCCACTTGTTCATCCCGGACAGGTGCACACAGTTTCTCCATTACCCCAATAATATAATTAGAATAGTAGTAAATATCAAAGGCATCATTTTCAAGCTTCTGTCTGATCAAGTCAATGTCAAGCACCTCATTGATCTGGGCCCGGAATCTCACATGCTGCGGCAACAGAAGCATCATGATGTTCTGAAAAAGTGGAAGGGTTTATAACTCAATGGCCTTTTTTTTTTCTTTTTTTAATAAACAAAATCTTCATTGCTTAAAAATCAATTAGATCTGGCCTTTCGGGGCACAAATTACGAATGAACTTAAATCATGAAAAGTAAAGTGTTCATCAGTGAATAAAGTTTAATTAAGGAATGTTTTTAAGTTTTGTGTGAGTTATTGGTAGGTAAATCACACAGACTTGTCACGTAGGTTAGCACGCTTCATGAAAAATATGCCTACATGCTTGTCTGTGTGATTTACACACCAATAATTCCCACTAAACTTAAAAACATTCCTTATATTTACATTTTACATGTTCAAAAGCACCAAAAATATACTCAATCTTTGAATTATTTGCTGCCCTATATCGTTACATTTTTATTAACGTCTCTGTAGCTTATTGTGACGTCACTTTAGCGCGAGTTTCTCTGTGCATATTTCTACATGTGAGTATACACAAAAATGGCATTCAAATCAATTTCACAGTTGGCTTAGTAGAAATATACACAGCAAATGTAAATATTCTTTAATGAACACTTAGGTGACTACTTAACCTGCCCACTTTGTTATATTTATCTGGAAAGCAGGGATTATCCCTCTTATTAAGTAATGATTTTATCTTTGGTTAGATTAGTAGTTGATAAATCAACAGTTATTTATGGTGTGTGTATGTACCTCTTTGATCTCCTCTATCAGAACTAGGGCATGAGAAAAGTCAGGTGGATCTTCATTCAATTTCTCCTGGAAAGCATCCCAGAATGCTCTCCTGACTGTGTCCTTGACTTTTTTTTCTATGCTGTAATTGGACAAAAATCAATCTTATGTCATGTGAAACTTTGTCAAAAATGAAAGAGATAAATTTATTTAAGTAAAATTTTTTATTTTTAAAAAAAAGTTACTTTTTGGGCACACCATGAAATACAAAAAATTGTCATGATTGTCTTTGGTCAATCAAAGAAAAATATATTTGCTGTAGCCTTTAATATTAAATAAGTCAGTTTGTGAACATTGACTTTCTGTACTTATACCTCTGTATAACAAATTAACAATGGATTTATGTAATGCTTATATACAAATGTGACAACTTTATGTTATTATGAGAGAAAAAATATATATATTAGTTGTTACACGTTGAATTCTTTTCATTTTCTGTTTTATTAGATTACAAACATACAATGTGACAATATTCCCACTAAATTGATCAACTCTGTTACTACTTTTTTAAAGAGAAAAAAAGTCTATACTAAAAAAAAAAAAAAATATTTTTACCTGTCTTCAGGTGCTTGGAACTTTTCCAACTTGAATTCATTGTTGACAGCGATTTCATGGGCCAGTGCCATGTTTTTAACTCCATTAGTTGCCTCCATCAACTGCTCAAAGCTTAGAAACTTTGGAGGGGATGCTGCAATTTAAATAAATATTAATCAACAAACTTAAAATTAATTCAATTCTTTATCAGTGGAGATACAGTATTATTATACCCCCCACCCCCAAAAAATAAACAAACTGTAGAATTTTCACTATTATAATTGAGATTAACTGAAAAGAAAAATTTTCTCTTTTTCTAACCTCCCCCCCTCCAATAAATAAAATGTTTTATTGTTTTCATAAGTCATTAAAAAGATATTCATTTAAATTAAGCTTATCAGGTATACAAATTACCTGCAACCATAAATGCAGGAGGGATTCTAGGAGAACTTGGGGACTCTGTCCTAAGTTTCTTCTTCTCTGTTTCTGTATCACTGATGGAACTCCCTGTTGACAAATTAAGTTCCCCATCGTCCTGGTCCTGGAGAGGAAATTCCCCATCCAGGGAGTTATTCAAACTGTCAGGGGTTTCCTTGTCTGCCATGTTGGTGAAATCTAGGACTTGTTAATCCTTCTGTAAATAAAAATTAATTATTCCTAATTCTATCTGGTAGATATTTGTTAAAATTAAATATTTCCTCACAGATGTGTTTATTCATGTATAGGAGAATTTTTACACTGCTGAGTAAAATGAATCCAATGGTTTCTTGGTCGAGCATTTAAATACTATATTAATATATCAAATTCAATGAGCAATTGTTTACATCTGAGGATAAAACAGGTAAATTTCTCAAAATAATGAGTGCTTTATTACATCCTTAAAAAAATATTGATCTGCTACAGGATACATCCTTGATTTTGGCAATATTTCAAGGATTTTTTTAAATATTTATTTTTACCTTTGGTGTAATAATTTTATAGATATGTATGTTCAAAAGCAATTCCAAACCAGAAATATTGTTCAGCTGTTGCCAATAATAAAGAAATATGGATAGTTGAATAAATTTTCTAATCTTTGTAATTTTTTTTTTAATGAAATTGATATCAACATGATCAATATATTATACCTTCGATAAGCCACATTTATAAACTCTGCCAATCAACCATACTCAACATTGCAATATTTTGCAATGTCATAACATAAATCTATAAGGTTACAGAAATTTGGAAAAAATACAGTTTAAACAATGTATCCACAACCTTCTGGTCAAAAGCTATATTTGGTTATATACGTCAAATAATGATAAACAGCTGACAAACGTAAACAAAGCAACTTACATGGCTCTCAGTCTTCAATTTCAATCCAGTGATATGAATATTGAGCGTAAAATCGGTCAAAATCAACCAGTTTGTTTATAGCTGTTATTCTGATTACTTTCTTACTATCTTAATAGTGTCTGTTTGCCAATATACTTTTCTAGAATCCTCGAGGGTGACGCTAAGCCATGATTATGTCTCTGACTCAATACTTGCAATGTTTACGGAAGTGACGAAATAATTCCGTAAAGAACCGAGAACATCCGAACATTACTTGTATTTGGCGCCAGTTTTCAAAGTTATCTAGAAATCCCCCACCCTCCCGAAAACTTCGGAATTCTGACGATTGAAACCGTCCTCAGTCATAATAAATGTATTTAAACTTTTGCATCGCTTTAAATCATAGAAAAAAATTCTACACTACAGGGACGTATAAAATTAAAAAAGGGGGAAAAAAAGAGGCACTTGTTTCGTATAGGGGGCACCCCTACTTATTTTTACCACAAGGTACCTAACTCAATTTCAGGTACCCCCGCTTAAAGCTCGTATTTTTTTTTATATATATCAATCATTAACCTACTTTATAATGAAATCGTTCGCTTCGAAAGACTTTTTTCTTAAGGATAAAACCAGAGACCTCGGAAAGGAATACTCGTAAGTCTCGATCTGGACTTATCCTACATTTATAACCCAACCGGAAGTCAATGTATCGCATTCGTAGTCTTATTTTGTATCGAGATAATTTTCGAGGAAGAAATGAGCGGTTTACAATAAAGAGGATCGACCAGAGACGTCTGAAACAATTAATTTGACAAGAAAAAAGTCTTTCGAAGCGAACGATGTCGTTTTAAAGTACGTTAATGATTGATCTATAAACAAAATACGAGCTTGAAGCGGGGGTGCCTGAAATTGACTTGTGGTAAAAATAAGTAGGGGTGCCCCGTATACGAAACAAGTGCCTGTGGAAAAAGGCCTTTTTAGTGAGAAGCTTCTTTTATTTCCTGTAAAATGAATTATGTAAATTATATTACAATGACTGTCTAACACAATATTCATACTTAAATTGACGTATCACTAAGTAATTCGAGTTGTTCAAATCCAGTAAACGATTAATAAATTAATTTTTTTCTTTAGGATATACATACATGCAGGGACATACGTCTCTGATACATGTACGTAGATCTACTAAACTTGCCAAATCTAGGGGCGGATCCAGCGATTTTTGAAAGAGGGGTTCCCGGGTGATGCCCGGCCTTCACCCATCCACCCACCCACCCACACACAAACACACACACAAACTCACCCTTAGATTCACACACACACAGAAGGAGAGAAAACTCATCATAATTAGGTCGTGGTAAATAATATCTTTGTTTTGCACCCCTTAATTCTTTGAAAAGTTACCTTCCAGTTCGAATGAAAAAACAAACACATCAGGCCCGTAGGAAGCAATTTCAGTTTGGGGGGCACAGCCATACATTTTCAGTTGGAGGGGCACTATCAACTACCAAAAATTCTTGACAAGCAAAAAAAAAAAAAAAAAAAAAAAAAAAAGTCATCAGACGTTTTTATTGAGGGGGCACAAGCATATGGTACCTATGTTTTCTATAATAATCTATATATCGGCAAAATTATTGGGAGGGCACGCCCCCCCCCCCCCGGTTCCTACGGCCATGCACATACTAAAAACTACTGCATGTACATATAGCCTTAAAATTGAATGGATTTGCAACAAATTAAATAAATCAGATTAAATTCACATAGATGTTGGTTTCTGGATGGTCATGGTGTATTTTGTATTTTTCTATGTCTGTCTCAATTCAATCATGAACTTAAAAATGGAAAATTGTTGATATTTTAGCATGCATACCTTTTTTTTTAAATAGGCCTAACGTGTAAAAAAATTCTCATGATTTCAGGATGGTGAAATGTGTTTTTTAATACAACGCAATGAAATTTTGGCGTTTTGTTGTTTTTGTCATTGTATTCAAAACAGACATAGAAAACACACAGAATACAAAATACTGAGCTCTCATACGCAGTCAGTTTAAAAAAATGTGCATACCGTTTCTGAATATCGCATGTAACACGTGCACATTGTTTACGGAAGCAGTGGTGCATTATGGGATTGCCAGAGGCTCGAAATTCGAAAACAAAAAACATGGCGATGCGAGAGGATAGCCTGCTGGATAGTCCGGTATCTTATAACAGTTTCCAACGATCAATTCCTCTCAGGGCATCTAAAATTAACATAGGTAAATCCTTCACACCTTGCACAATCCATTTGATTTGAAGTTTGAAATTCGGTAACGCTTGATTTATAATGTAAACAAACGGGCACCTGTTCGATGGTCACGGTTCGTCATTGCGTGGCATATTGAGCGTGAATTTTAAAAGATATAGATGTAAGAGAAATAAGACTGTGGAAATTTTTTACAGAAAAGATTTATCAATAGCAAAATACATTAATTTTGTAAGAATTTTGGTGGAAGGGGGGGGAGGGGAGGGGGTCAACAACATTTAATCAACAGGTTACCACTCGGCTGATAGGGATGGGTCATAATACACAGACCCTTGTTTCATACATTAAGCTAGTTTTCTTCTATACATTAACACGTGTAATTGTATAGAAGAAAACTATCGTATTGTATGAAACAAGTGCCTGTGTCATAATATCCCAGGTGGGATATAGATTTTACGAAAAATATCTTAAATCCACATAAATATATATTGTATGCAACAATTTTTGGCAAGCAAGCTTTCTAACACCTTAAAGTTTGTGAGATTGATCCCCAAGATTTTTTTTTATCTACTTTGGTCATGTTGGAATCAATGTCAGAAACATTATGGATTGAAAAGGTATTTGCTCTTCATTTACTTTTGTATGGATTTTTTTTTCCATGTAAAATTTATTTCCCAGTTAGGATAATATAACCCAAACAGTATGTTACATATTCCATTTGGGGGATTGGTCTTGCAGGACAGAATATTTATTTCCCAAATTAATTATCAGTCACTAAATATTTATGTCCTTCCCTGGAACAAGTTGAGAAGCAATATAAGAAAATCTGTGCAAATTCATATCTTAGCAATTACAAACATTTTCATCTTACTGAAATGGATACCCCCCCCCCCCCCACACACACACACACACACTACCACCCACCCAAAATAAAACATATTTTCTATCCATGGAATATTATTGTCCTAGAGGTCTGCTTATGAGGCCTTTCCGAAAATGAAAATTATTCTGTTTAGAGATCATCTATGTCAGGTCTTATAACCCTTGCATCCAGGTCCTGTAAAAGGACCCTGTCCAATTTGAAAGTTACTCTTTTTTCCCCAAAATTAAGGTAAAAATTCCCAAATGACATGCAGATTGAATTTTCAGTGCTTTTTATTTCAAAAACTTGAATTCTGAGTTTTTAATTATTCAGAAAGATGTGAATTGGGAATAAACAACAGTAAATCTTGAAAAGACATCAGTTAGTATTTCCAGATTTTGCCACTTATTCTGATTAAAAATTCTTAATTGAAAGGGTCAATTAAGCCCTGTATGCATTTAATTGTTTGGGGCGTTAATTGGGAATCCAGTTTAAAATGTTTTACTCTGATCTCAGAAATATGTAGGAATATGGCTGGGAAAGGGGGGGATCCAGGACACCACGATATGTAAATTTCTGTGTAAAATGAAGTTTCTGATATTGTCACTCAAATATTTTCACCCTACCTTTTGTCTGTAGGATCTCACTCAAAAAAAAATTATCTAGATTTCCCAATAGACAACATAGGGCTATAGATGTTTTACTTCATACGGTAAGTTCGGTAACTTTTGTACTTTAAAATGGTGTACTCTAGGACCAGAACAAGTCCTTGAGTAAGATATATTTTCAGTTGTTACAGTCTACACAAAAGTCTAAAATTTTTACAGGACATAAGTCTGGTAAAAATATATATTTTACATGTTGTATTGTAAGCTTAGGAATTGGTTTTGTTTATAGAAGATATTTTATTGAATACTGTGGGGGACAAGTGTTCATGGATTTTGTGGGTCACCCTTACCCATGAATTATATACATCCCCACGAACATTTATTTTGTTAACCTATTACATGTAATTCACTGAATTTAGCATATAAACAAGAAATCCACAAAATTGCGTTCTTACGAACAAGTAAAATTTTGCTTGCCCACTAACATTGACCCCCACAAATTAAAATGATTCCACAGTAAATCAAAAGGATTGGAAACAAGTTCTTACAGCTGGTTTCTCCCCTTAAATATAACAATATATCATGCAATATAATTCATAGAACTTGAATGTTACAAGAAAGGAATTAGACTAAGTGACACAAAAAAGAGGGAGAGGACATGTACATAATTATTAACATTTGTAAAAGTTACTCTTGCCTAATGCGAATGTACATACATTAAAATTCAACATATTGGATATACCTAATTTGAAATTTTACAACTTACTTTAATATTGCATTCAAAGGAGGGGGGGGGGGGCATTTCCATAGTAATTTACTTAAAACTTTTTAAGCTGTGACCTCCACATTGACCACAATTCTTTAAGCAAAAAAAAAAAAAAAAAAAAAAAAACCAACAACAAACAAAACAAAAAAAATCAAATGAGGCAAAAGAATGATTTATTGATTTAGATATATCTTTTTTAATAAAATTTTTTAAAAAAATACATTAATCAAATATCCAACCTTCAAAGGAAACTTTGATTTGTTTAATGGATTCATTATTGATTTAGACTAACTTGAAAGAATACTTTAATGGTCAATTATTTCCAGAACTTTGTCTTGGGCATGTCAGAATTTCCCCTGCAGGTATATATCACCTGATTTTCCACTCTTTGAAAGTTACAAGACAATCTGTTGAATAGTGGTTCCACTTGTTATTTGAGTCCCTGAGAAATAAATATGCAAAGGTGTAAAAGGTATGCACAGGTGTGAAATCAGGTGTTAGGGCACATGTCACATGTCTTCCTAGTTTTAATTAGCAAGTGGAAAAGAGGGAAGTGGTTTTAATGTGTTAAAATCAAATGAAATGGAAAACAAAATGTTTATATATCAGTAAAAAGTATTTTGTTGAGTATTAGAAATTGAAGCTAAGCTATACAAGTAACATTAATGAATGAGAAGTTATATCTTTAGAAGTTTAAAAATATGGTTCAAGCAGCTACTCCCATAAGTAAGTATATTTAAGATAAGTACAATATTTGACACTTTTGGAGAAAATATATTTCTATGCTACAAAACCTGTTATGGGAAATAGAAATTAATTTTTAAAAGAAATATTGTAAAAAGTTATGTTTTGTTTTGTTAAAGTCTGGCTATAACAAAGCTTATTTCCTAGGAATGTTATTTTTCAACCAACAAAAAGTTAAACATTAGAGTTTTAATCTCTAAAGTATGAGAAGTATGTCTCCTAATTTACAAGATTATCTATCTCAAAGTTCATAAGTTCTACAAATACTCTCAGTTAAGAATCTGATAAAGACTTTAATATGCCCAAATTAACCAGATCTGCTAAATAAACAAGGGTGCTAAACAAACACAACTCAAAAGAAAAAAAATCCCATGGACAGTTGGTATTGTTTTTATAGTAATTAGGGTGTCACAATGAGAGGGGAGTATTTCATTACTAGCAGTGCTACTGACTCTAAGTAAACACACAGGAGGGGGGTATATAATGGGTGTGGGAAAACTGGACTGACAGAATCTGATTTCTGAAATATATATATTTGCTTTTTTTGAGTCATTTGAAACATTTACTTGAAAACTGCCATCATGACTAGAACTATTGGGGATGTTAGCCTCAATGTGACTGGGGAAATATTCAAAACTTGCAGAGGTAAAGAAACTCAGAAAATAGCTAATTATTATATTTTTAAAGGGATATTTTTTTAGATTATTTATATAGATTTTTTTTCATTGTTGATCTTGGAGAAAAATGATTATAATGAAAAAAATTCTAATTTAAAACATGATTTGATATTGGTAATTATTAGTAACTGTTACTTAATTTTAACTATCTGTGTAAATTTACTTGGGGTTTAACATATGTTTCATTCAGTTGATATGGAAAAAATTCATAAGTTCTTGATATATATAAAAAAAAATTGTGTGAAATTTTAAAACAAAAATTCTCTTTTTATTTTCAGGGCCATTTAGGGCTACTCAGATATGGAATGAAATTATCGACCACTTAAAGATTCACGTTGAGGTTAAGCGACGTCGCTACAAAATGAAGACGTATGACAACACCTTCTCTGGGGCTCACGCTGTAGATGTCGTCATGACTTACCTCCTCAGCGAGAAAAACACATTTAGTACAGACTTGTCCAGAGACAAAGCTGTCAAGGTATATATTGCCTGTGATCATTCCTTAAAAAATATATGGGAGGGGGATCTTATTTCTGTAAATATGTACCATACACTATTTCTTAGTCAATTTATCATTTTGAAAAAAATATATATTGAATGAAAGTCTTGAAGCTTGAAAACTATATATATAATTATCATAGATGGATAAATATACTACAGTTCAATTTTCATGATGGTGACTGAAATTGAGTTATTCCCCTTTTGCTGTTACTATAATCTAGAGCTTTTTGATGAAAATATTTCTGTATAAATTTCATCTCTATATATTTTTAACAGCTCTGCCAGTCTTTGATGGACCGACAGGTTTTCTGCTCAATCAGTAACCGTACAAGTGAGATCAAGAAAACGTTTGATGATAGCCACAACAAGCTGTACAGATTTGTAGGCCTGGATCTTCCAGAGAACCATGAAAACTCAAACTCAACCATCATAGAGACCAGCTCATCAGATGAAGAACATGATTATTCTATCATGGAGGATTGCCGTGGCAACCAGTCCATTAGGTAAGGAATAAGGGGACACACATTGGAAGGGAGGAGGGGGGCTTGAAGTTCTTGTGGAACAGATTCATTTCTAAATTTAATATGTTTTATCATATTGTGATAAATAATAACTTTGAATTCAGAATAACATCTAAAAAATATATTAGGCTTGGAAGTTTAAATTTTGATACATTTTTAAAAAGACAGAAAAAAATAACATAATATGAAAATAATTTTAACTCATATTTTTTCTGGCATAGACTGAAGAATTTTGAATAAAGCAGTCTTATAAGTGTTTTTAATCATTAAACTTTCAATGTATTTTTAGACTGAATCCAGAAGTGGACCAGGAAGGGAATTTGGATGACAGCGTCATCTGTAACCCTATTGCTGTAAACAAGAAAGGACAAGTGCTACAGGAGATTATCTCCCTTCATCAGTCCTTTACCCGCCGCAGAAGCCGCAGCTCACTCAAGTCAGACACCTCCATCATGTCTAGAAATAGCTGCAGGGACTCAACGCTTACTCCAGAAGGTAACTAAATTTTTCAAGTTTGACATGAAGGGTTTTTTTTGCACTTACAAAAAAAGTATAGGTTAGACTTTCCTTTTCAAGAGTCAAGTTTAGAAATTAAAATTCAGTCTTGATATTTCAATAGGTACAACAAACAAAGTAAAATCAACAATTTACCGTAATTATCAGACACAATGAAACCCAGTAAAATGCCAAAAAAAATGAAATATATTTTTAGATTAAAGTAATGAATGTAAAGGTTTTTACTTCATATTTTTTTCCTTTTCTTAATTTTAGTAATGGAGTCTCTTTGGAGAGAGGTTGCCCTGTGTCAGCTTCTAACCACTGTAGAGATCCCCTTTCTGGAGGGTTTGTTATCAGACCAGAAATCCAGTAAGAAGACGGTCAAACAGAACATGATCACCAACTCTGTCTCCAAACATTACAACAGTGTGGGCATCAACAACATTACAGATCCCTTCATGCGAACAGCCCTCAACTGCATCGAGTGTCTTCCCAAAGGTTTACTAGTGCTAGAAAAAGACTTTGTCAGGGGACAGAACCCTGCAGCCAAGATCCAAGCATTCCATGTCCTCAGCGGACACTACAAATCTCAGGCAAATTCTCTGATGCCAGAAAATTTTATTGAAGTTCACCTGGCCATTTTGAATTTCATCATCCAACAGAAGCATGAGATGGCTATAGAAGCTCTTCAGTTAGATCTGATCATTCTACCGTGGCATATTAGAGAGGAACTGCGACGTCTGCTCAAGTTTATGACAGCGTGTGCTGAGATGACAGATTTCTCTGTTGATTCTAAGGTAAACCCTTATTTAATGAAAACATTTTCTAATTTTTTTCTTTTATTAAAACATATGTTTCTGCTATTCCTCTTTGAGATTTGAAATATGTTACAAATAACTGAAGTGTATATTTCTAGTATAGTGATATTCCTTTATGTAAACCTAACTTAAGATATGTGAGTTTTAATGTTCTGTCCTTTTCTTGTAGGTGAACAATGAGACACTGGCATTAGACACTTTCACAGACTGCATCATTCAACACAAAGTGCTGGCTCACAAACTCGCCAGAGTTCTGGTCCTCTTCCTGATGAAGAATCTCAAAAGGATCTTTACTGTTCCCAAGGAGATTAAGGATCGAGTTGTCACTCGTATGAATGATCTGAAGACAGGAGAAGTGTCCCCTGTTAGAGGTTGGTTTTATATTCTTCTCTTGCAGTAATTATTTAGATGTGTTGTTTTGTATAACACTCAATCCATAAAAAATATTTTTGCTTTCACATACTTAACGATGAAATTTCTAGGAAACTGAAATGTTCTAAAAATTGATATTTTTAAAATTCATGAAGTTGACTTGAGAATCCATATCGAGCAATCCAGTGTACTGGTATATTTAAGAAATATAGCAAATTGATCTGAAGCATTGAACAAATATTTTTTTTTTTAAGTTTTAATTTTTTCTATAATCTGGATCTCATACAGAAGTAGTTTGAATGATAGAATTAAACATAATGTTTTGAATCATTTCAGATAATGCCTACTGCAGCCAAGTCACAACAGATGAATATCAAAAACAGGCCACTGAGTGTACAAACACAGCTCTGGTCTCCATGATGAATGGAATCCTTGACAACACGAATTTTACCCTCAAAGAAAAGAAGCAGCGCTTGCGACAGTTCCAGAAATGTCATCCCGAGCTGTATGCCAAACATTTCATTGGAATGTTGTAAATCGGTTAAAGAATGGTGCTATATAAATCTTTATCACAACGAATGCTTCCACAATGCAGGGTTCATTGTCTCTAGTGCAATTTATTTATTACATGTGATATTGTATATATATTTGTATAAAGCAAGCAGTATTTATATTTACCCCCAAACATTATAATGTCTAAAAAAAATTACACCAATTCTTGTTAACTTTACTTCTCTTTTTGATCTCAAGTATTTTGTCTCTATCACATTGTTTAGAATGTAGATGATTTTTATTCTCACTATCCCCCATATTAATTTCTTTCTTTAGAACATTTATGATTTTTCTTTCTGTTTGTCTCAATTAATGCTTGATCTCCCATTTACAATTTTTTGCACTCTGATGTCTATTTTTCTTTGTATATTATGCATGATATTTATCAAACAATAGTGCCAAAATGACGATAAAAAGATTATGGACTGAAATGTGTCAATTTGTAATTAATTATGTATTGTGAACTACTTGCCAGATGTCAGACTTTGTTTAGATTTAACACTAATGGTCACTTTCTATGTACATAAATTTCTACATTTTAAAGAGTAAACATACCAACAAATTTGAATTTGATTTTGTTTTATTTTTTCACCCTATGAACTGAATTTCAATAATAATTGAAAGAAGAAAATTTCATTGGACAAGAATTTATTAAAAATTATATATATGTGTCAATTTAACATATTTAAGATTACAAGCTAATAAATGAATTATCATTCATCATTTCTAAGAAGAAAGAAAATATATACCTTATTAAGACCATTTCTAGATTAATATTAAATTTATTGTTGGAAAAAGGGAGGGGGTAGTCTTTTCCGCTCAGATACCTCTTGTACTTCTTTGTACTGTACCTTTATTTAAAGGTCGAATGATAGTGTTTAACTAAATGAGACTAATATTTATTTTATTCACATAAAACATATTAAAGGGTATTTCTAGTGCTGGGTCTTCAACAAGTCTTGCAAGCATCATCGCACTGGTTCGTTTTAAAAGGACGTACATGTAGGCACAAGGAAGAGTCCTCTACAATATTAATAAAAAAAAAAAAATTCTGTTTTAACTGCGTTCTATTCATAATCTGGTCCGTCAGTAAAGAGAACTGGCATATTGCAATTCTGTTGATTGTGTATTCAAAAATATTATAGTCAATGATTCTTCGACATGACGTGCAAATGTACTAATGATTAAGGGACAGGTAACTCTAAAATCGATATCGGCATTTGAGTTACGTCCCTTGTCTTTCAGGTCGCTAGGGAAGCGTTGCTTAGCTGTCTACCAATCATTTTTTGCGATACACAACACGTGCCTTCTGCCGTGACGTTGGTCTGTTTGTCTGACAACCTTTTGCGAAAAAAGAAGATAAGACAGGTGGGTTGTTTTATTTAGGATCTCACTCAGCCGCCATCAAGAGGTGAGTTTGTCACCAGGTCACAAATTCAGAATTTATTACAACCGAGGTGCATTGCTCATGCAGTCACTGTTCATAGACCGTTTAACTGTTTGATTTAGAATCTGCTATCAAAAAATCTTGTGGAGATTTTTCGAGAAGTTTGTTTTGCACTGTCATACAAATGGCATATTTTATTACGTTGTGTTCCATATATCAAAAGTAAAGTAGGATATATATATGTTTCCGCGTTTTAAGACACGTTATATCTATAGGCCTAGTGCAAGAATCAATTCGAATGTAGAATCTTTGATTATGGAAGGTATGGATTATGGATGAAACATCGTTGAAAAAAAATTAATAGTATACTCAGAGAAAACGTGTATGTTACTGTTATTCTAAAAATCTTCCATAGACCACACAATGAACATGCTAAATTAACTTGATGTGTTATGCTGACCAGCTTTCTAGCCAGATTGAAGTATTGTTTCCTGTGTCTCATGCATGTTTTCTAAATTTCTTCTCACTCCATTTTTTAACCCATTTTAAGTCATGCATGGCAATTGTATGTCCTCATGGGTTTAAAAAAAAATCACTGTACATCAGAAGAAAATCATTAATGCAAAGTTTTAATATACATGCTTGCCTAGTTTTAGAATACTGGTATATAATATACAAGAAAATGTCAATGTTAGCTTCAGTTGTTAGACTTATTGATCTCATTCAACATGTATCATAATGTTTATTACCTGAAGTTTTAATGTAGTCAAGCATATTGAATTGTAATTTGTGTTTTAAAATGTAGACACACACTATTTCCATAATATGGGGAGGATTGTATTATATAATGCTAAATAGTTGTCCAGGTACTGCCAAAGCAAAACTTTCTATTTGAAAAGAATATTAATTAGCAGTATTCTTTTGACATATTCAGATGTCAGTGTTTTCGTGTTAATATGCTACATGTACTATGTCTTTGCATCTGATTCTCAAAGTCATGTCAGCTTCATAGCAGCTATTTATTCATTCTAAAAATAAGTTGAACAGCCAAGAGTCTTTTTTGATGATACATATATAAGTCTTATTTTGGTTACTTGATGTCAGGAGTAAAAGGTGGGTTTAATTACCACAATGTCTAAAAAGTAGGGATTCGAAATAGGTATACTTTTTAAACCAAGCAATGGACTTGGTAAAAGATTGCGAGAGATCTGTTGAATGAAATATTTGATGAAAGTTTTGAATATAGATCTGTATTATTTGTTGCCTATCAGTATGACAAAAATGTCCACATCCTTTCACTCATAAGAATAGAATATGATATGACAGAATGCTGTGTTAATTAAATACGCAAATTAACTTTTTTTTATTGTACAATTTTCAACACAAGTTACAAATTAAGGTGTGATGATCAATGAAACTTTTTTAGTTATAATTAGGTTATTGTTAAAGAGAGATTTAAGGAAAGTTGGTAAATATAAGGGGCAAGGGTAGCAATATCATTGTTTTTCACATAACTAATGTCTCAATCACAGCATATGCAGATGTCTTAATTAATCCAAATGATAATGGATTTCTACAGAATAAGAGGGGAGGGGTGTTTTGTATTGGTGAGGGCACTCACTATAAGTTGTTTAATCACAAGAAAACAGAGGAGAATATATTGCGAATGTTCTTTAAGTTCAAACTTAAGAGTGATTTTAAAAAAAGGAAAATGATATAATGGTTACATTACCCTTACCATTTCCCTTATCTCCCATTTTTTTCCTTTCTCTCTTTCTTCTCTCCCATTCTTCCCTTAATTCCTCTTCCTCCTTCTCCCTCTTCCTTTCTACCCCCTCCAACATTCTTTTTAATTCCAAATCATCCCCCCCCCCCCCCAATGACAGGATATGTGAAATTTTGTTAAACATCTTCAGTTAAATAGACATGAAACCAAAATTTACATTCTATGTAGTCTAACCAAAAGATATGTGATAAACTTACATAATAATTGAAAAATTCGTATTGGTCTCATGCACAAGCACACACTGTTAAATCATTTCAACTGTAAACCTACAAGGAACCTGCAATACTGCAACAACCAAATACTTGAATATTTGATAAACTGATTCTTGTCAATGAGATCCTAACATGAACAAATTGAACTGGTAACCCAGTTTTGCTAAGAAACAGATCAGGACATAGGTATTTGGCTTTCTTAAATGTTAAGGTCTTTTTCAATAGAAAATGTCACCATGTTATCTTTTATCTGAAAAAAAAATGTCTGGTTACATGAAACACATGTAACCGGAATTTTTTTTTCATATCACTGGCATTAAATTTTGAGAGTATTTTGACCTCTCTTCACAGTTTTCAAAGTTTATTTTTATCAATTGATTGATAGATCTGTCTACTTAAAAAAAAACACATGGACTAAAGATGAAATTTATCCATTCTTGAGAACTCTCTCTCTTTTTCATTTTATTTTTTTATTTGGCTTTCAATTTGTTTTTCAATTGTATTTATTTTTATATTCCATCAAATTATTCATGAAAAAGATAAGCAAACAAAAGTTCCATATATTCAAATAATGTCTGCAGATCACTAAGTTAAAGCAAATATGAATTCAATATTGTACCATATGTGAAAAGATAATAACCACATTACAGACAAGATTTTATTCAAACAAACACTGACAATGTTTATTATTGTAATTGATCAGAATTTTAAATTTCACCAATCTAGTAAAAAAAAAAAATTAAATGAAAATAGTAAATAATTTCTTTAAAAATTGACAGTGCCTAAAACAATTTGACAATTTAAACTTATGGCACATGCATAAATATCAAAATTAATTCCAACAGATTTACTTTGCATCATATATACATACTGGTTGTTAAATGCCATTGTTATGAAGATTTTTACTTGATAATCAATATTAAATTGTATTGTATTTTTTGCTGAGAGCTTTAATCAGCTATTGATTAAGTTTTTAAAGTCTGTGACGTGCGGGTTCTTTCTTGAATACCGTCCATTTAAACCCAAAGCCGTTACTTGCATTGGCCTAGCCATTGGTTGCTGGGGAGCCATAGGTGCAAACAATATAACCAACACAAAACAGTTAAATATATTTCTGGCTGTGAGGATTGAGGAAATAAGATATATTTCCCTAGGACTTTTTTTTCTTTGTGAAACTTAAGTTTTGGGGATTTTAATTAACCATATTGGAAACTGCTCCTTTTGGTTAAGGTATGCATTTTTATTTCTCTTACTTGAAGTCTTCAGGTGTGAATATTGATTAATCATAGAAACTGTTCTTTTCTCTACCTTGGAACATTTTTTACCCCATAAAATTACCTGCATTGGATTCTGAGTTGAATGGATCAATTCAATTTACATAAACATGGGAGATTTTTTTATGTCTAATGTAATTTGACATCTTAAATACCAAGATTGTCATTTTGATAAGAAAGATACTTAGAGCAATTGGGTTTAAATTATCAACTTGAAGGTTTTGATTTATTTATTCAAGACCATGCATGAGTTTGTGGAAAATATATACATTAAAAAAGCATGGACGTGTTAAACTAATTTTCAATTTTGTTTTTCATTATAGGTTTCAGTGAGTCAGTGTAGATTTTGAATTTAGTAACCATGGTTTACAATTATACAAAACCCCGTGGCCCCATTGCTGCTATGTACAGCAGCCCTGGCCCCTGTTACGGACTTCCAGGCCTAGTCGGACAAAAATCCCACGACCCCCGTAGTGTTCACTACAAAGCTGCTTCTTACCCCTTCGGTGTTCGCCATGGAAAATTCAGGGACGACTGCA